ATCTGATGACGCCCATTCGAGCAACATCTGAAATTGTGTTAGTATCTATCCCGAAAGATACATCAGATAAATAATGCCTTTGTGAACGAATCTATAGGTGTTAGACATAATAATAATTTTTTTCCTGGATATATGTTACAATATTTAACAGTTAGCTGAAAGAATATTACTAACGTTGGAAGTTCTACGCTTTTTTCAGAATTATGCATTTAATGGCGTTATTGAATAATGAATAATAAATACAATTGCATTTAATATTTGTAAAGTTCAGATGCATTTTAATTTGAAATTTCTAGTCACTGATATTTATCTGAGTTTTAGTCAAACTTACTTACTGGATTCCTGTTTCATGTTAATTCAAGAAAAAAATAGAAAATGTTTTACGATGAAGCGAAATATTAATTAGTATATTAATTAGTAAACGTTTCAATCGAAAAAATGCAATCTATAATAATATCCATAAATCCGATCCGATGTAAGTTGGAGGTGAGCGCATTATACATCAGGTGATGGATTTCAACTATCTGGAAGGTACAATTATCGAGCAGCAGAAGCACAGTAAGAGTATCAGGTCTGTTACCAAAAAGAAAAATCAGAACAGCGGAGATGAAAATCCTAAGAACAATAAAAGGGATCACATTACATGACAGGATAGCCAAGTAAATACAAGTTTTAAAGTGCATATGCAGGTTTGGGCACACTTTGCAAGTGCGTCACCTGAAACGTAAAATTTATTAAATACTGATTCGCATTTTGAAAATTCACAATAGCGATCCGTTCTAAAGCAAAAAAGAATTAAGAAAACCTTTAAAGACGTTTTCACAACATTCACGGGGAACCGAAATGGCACAATTTATATAGCTGCTGCTCTGTCCTCTGATCTCCCCTGGGCAACCAAGCGAAAAATTTAAATGAGAGATAGAGTCAAGTGAAATCTTATTTGACAGATATGTTTGTCTTTGTTATGTCCTCAAAGTTTGAAGTCGCTGGGATCATTAACAGAATAGCGGCCTGTTAAAGTAAAAAAAATTAGCCTTTTTTCAATATGCTTTGTTTTTCGTGCATAAAATGGGTTTCCTATCTGACTCAAGTGTCTCTCAAAAGATTGTTCGACATTCCTGAATTTTTTTTCCAAACGTTTTCAATAGAGTTAGGTAGAATTTATAACAGAACCGATTTTAAGCAGCTCTAAAAAAGAAATCTAGGAAACTGAGATTTGGAGCTCTAGGGTGGCCATTCAAATTGTCTCCTTCTACCAATACATTGATTTTAATAGTAATTATCTAGCCATTCAATGAGATGAATCAATTCCTTGTTGAAAATATAAGTTTTTATCTAAACCTAGACTGTCATTACTGTTTATCTGATTTTCACCCCACAAATTATAAGTATAGTATCCAATCTTCATATATTTCACCAGTTGACTTTCTATTGATGAAAATTCTGGACAATTTAGGACTTAGTATCTAAACACACACATATTTTTTCCTGGATGTTGTGTTTGACCCTCCGTAAGTCCTTGGGGATTTGCGTTGTTCCAGTAGCGAGAGATTTACGTGTTTATGTGGCTAATTAAATAAAACGTAGATTCGTCACCCAAACAGACAATTATTATTAAATTACACTCTTCAACAAATCGTCAACAATCATGTTCTCTAATTTCAGTTTGAGAATCTGCGTTTCCGTCAGAAAGGTCGTGATTAATTTGAAATTGGTGTCCTTGATGATGTCATCAATGATTCTCTTGTTGAAAACTGCGAGAGTCAGGTTTCTGCTGCAGTTTTGCCATTCCAGGTGGTAGGATTCATGAAGAATTGACGAATAACTTCAGTTAGGGCTGCTTCGTTGCGAACTTGAGATCCGTCTATTTTTTTAATGCAAACTGACCCAGTTTCTTCAAATTTTGCAACCCGTTCTGTATTACGTGCTGCTGCCCTATTCAAAAGCGCCGATTATTCTTTTTATAAGCTGAAATCATTTCTATACAATGGGATTTAGTCGAGGTCATGGTCATGGATCAGAAAAAAAACACTGTTGTTGGGAAAAAGCGGTCAAGAGTTTTTAAATATTTTTTTGAATAGTGCCTTTTTCAAACCAAGTGATGCGATTAATTGTCATACGGCGATTTTGTAGGTATGTTTGTTTTACAGTGAATTTATATCTTGGCTATGAACAATCAAATCCATCGGGATTTAGGTAACTTGAAGTCCCTAGTTGTTTTATCTAAGAAGAAGTAAATTTGAGCGTTATCCCGGCGAAAACGATACGATATCGTCCTTCTCTAGGAAACCTTTTTAAGCCTATAATTTCGTCAAAAAAAAGGTAACTTGTACATTGGTGCAGATCCGATTGAGCATTGAATTCCCAAAGCTACACAGCCAAGATCGTTGAAAAGTACCACTCCCAATTCCCATTCTTGCGTCCTCTTCAAAACTTAATTGAATAAGATTAAATAAACATTAATAACATTCTAATGGTGACTTTTAAGAAGTGACCTGCATCATGCACAAAATGCAAAATTGTTCAATTGTTAAGGCTTCAGTCTTAAAACCTATCTCTTGAATATTCCGGTCCACCCATCTTCTTTGTAGAATTGGACCATTTTTTCTATTATCTCCAAGAGGCCGACATTTCAGACCATCACATCAATGGACATTCTTCCTCCAAATTCTCACAAACTTAAAGTATACTAACTTAACGAAAATTATAAACCTTTAAGGTCTTACAATACGCTTTAAGGTCTTCTTAGAAATTAAAAACCTAACAGACACCAGACAACACCCAGCAATTTCAACAATTTTGAGACCAACAAAAAACCTGACAAAGCAAATTACCACTGTCTTAAGAAGCAACAAGAACAAATCCCTTGACCACTTATATCATGAGTCTCAAAATACAAACGAGAAAAAACATTTTTTTTAACTACGCAAAGCACGATGACACCGGGCGAGGCAGAATTATTTTATTAATTGCATTGACAAGATGAATCTCTCTACAATCGATCGAACGTGTGTTTCCCGATCTTTTTACAAAAAAAAACTTGATAGTGTTTCGTTTCATAATCAGTAATTTTTAAGCCACCGTTGGAAGTCAAATGTTAAGGATGGCGTTGAAATGTGAAACGTTTTAAGAGGCTCAGCTGGCCCTAAATGCAGCCTGAGAATTATTTGCCGTTAAGTATTATGGAATATTTCGCTTAAGTACTTAAGAGGTGGTTAATACTGCAAACTGAAAGGCCTTGATATACCACTTTTTGTATGCTTTTCTCAATTGAAAATTGTAATTTTTTTGCGTGCTTGTATCTATAACAACATGTACAGGGTACTTTCTCAATTACCACTTTATCGTTCGATAAATCTTAGTTGGTTTAAATTAAAATAGACTGGATAAAAATAGTGTTTTACTTCAAATCAATTAGGTACTCCATTACTATTAAATTTTCTACGTTTTCAATTGAATATAGTGTAAGTTGAATTTTAGAGTTCAGTTTAGCAAGTATTTTATGCTTAATTTAATTAATTTTAATTTAAAAATGTAATAGGTAAATAGTGTTGCACCAACCCTCTAAGCAATCTGGTTTTCGGAATGGCTGTGGCACAAACAGACATATGTAAACAATACCCTAACAGAAAATTTCATGGAAAATAATAAACCGCGCGTACTAATATTTTCAATCTACATCAAAAAAGCCTTTGACTCTGTCGAACGAACTCCAAGTATACTACAGATACACGGAACTTCTACATAATATATACAAGGCTGCTACTGGAGGGCTGCTACTACAAAATAGAAAGAGGAATAAGAAAAGGTGTTTTGGTGCTATCCCCCAACCCAAACTCTTCAACACTGCGGTGATGGAACATTTATTCGAACAAGTGACCAGGCAGGATACGGGCATAAATATAGACGGCCAATACCCATATCACCTCCGTTTCGCTGACGACATAGTTTTAACAACTGACAATCTAGGAGACGTACAAGAAATGCTGGAAGACCTAAAGAAAGCTGCAGGAAGGATAGTACTATATATTGATTAGCACAAAACACAAGTTATGACAAACCTGGTGGCTAGCGGAAACCTAGTGACAGGTGATGAAGACGAAATAAAGCAAACGCACGAATATAAATATCTCGGTAACGAAATTCAAATCTGCAGAGACAACCAGACACGGAAGTCACTCGACGGATGTCGCCCCCATTACAGGACAGTTTTTGGCAATTATCTGGAAACTACGAGTTGGTTGCAATATAATCGTCAAATTCGTCTAACGTTGGAACATTATCGGGCACCGAAAGTAGAAAACAATTTGAAAAGTTCCGCTTAGGAGCTTCAACTTAGCTTTCCCAAGTTCTTTAGCGAGCTTGGCCAAGTTGACACACTCTTTACTGATCAAGTGTCTCAATTCAAAAAATTGTATAAGATAACTTTTTAGTATCAAAAATTTCCGTTATTCGAAGCAAATGTCGCAATTTTTCTTTTTGGATGCTTATGTATTCCAATATGCTACCAATTAAACATGGGGCAATTTCAAAATAATGCTTAATAACACAGTTCAAATTCGATTTTCAACTGTTAATATCTTTTAGAAATTATCAAATTAAATATTTGAATATTTTTCTCGTACTCCCTATTACCCCTTAAAAGGAATGACGTCAATTTTGAAAAACCCTGTATATCTTTGAATCACATACACACTTTATTACGAAATGCTTGTTTGATTGAACTTTTACTTTAGTTAAAATGGATATTCTAAGCGGCATTTGAAGGAAAAGTTCCGAGCAGCTGTGAAATAAATGTTCAAACTTGGCATCAAGAAAAGAATACTATACTCATTTGATAAAACGGTATCAATTATTTTCTCACCCTTATTTGACGAGAAAAAAGACGGATAACTTCATCGAGCGATACAATATGTATTAGGTGGGAGTGGCATCGTTTTCAACTGGTCGACGCGTCGCGACGCCGATTGCAACCACCACAGAACATCCGTGTAACGTTCAGTTTTCGCGTAACAACGATAGAAGTTGGGTGAATCCCTCAACTCAGCTTCGGACCGAGCATAAACTTCACGCGGAAGTTTGAAATTTGTGATTAGCGTACATAAGTTTAAGTACAATTTTGGGATTATGTGAGTGGGTGTTTTATTGGGTTGACGAGTGATCCTATTTTGGGTTATGGTATTTTTTTGGAAACGGTGTGTTTTTATTATTTTCAGCTCAATTATAATAGGTGAGTACTTTCGCCATAAACCAAATATTCGATTTCTCTATCTCTAAAACTGTAGTACTACTATATTATTTTATTCGAAAATTTAAGTTTATAGTTGCATTAATTTCATTTATTTTCTGCATAAAGAGTTAAAGACTACCCGCAACAAATCGGCAACGATTTTTGCCACTAAAGATCGATTTTGCGGCCCTATATGACATTTTTAACGTATTAATGGGAAAAGCCAAATACACATTTGCAAAAAGTCTCTGAACAGTAATTTGGTAAATTAAAATAAAATTTATTTTACACCCTGCTGTGTATTATCTGTACATCCCTTGCCTTTTTTGTGTTGTTGTTTACACGAGGATATCGGTTGGCTGAGATTTTAAAACTTTTATTAATTTATTGGCCATTTGAAATACAGTTCTGTTTAAAATATAATTTATTAATAGGTACTTTTTGAGTGCTGTTTTAGGCACAGGAACATTCGCAAGGTACTAACTGCAAATAAATGCAACAATATATTTGAACGTAGCCTATTAAAATGTTCTTCTCATTGCTATTTCGTAAATACGGGTTGTCCTGGTTGTGAATCCGCAATGGTAAAACGTTAAATGAAGCGACAAATAGGAAAAATATATAATTTTACCGATGGAACTATACAACTGTCATTCTGATCTGCTGAGAAGAATGCTTAACTTCACTTTACAACTATTAGCTCAATTTTATATTCAAGAAAAGTTGACATAAACTATTACTTGGTACTGAGTTTCTAGTAATAGTTTGTAAATTTGAGTATTTTGAGTTAGCTTGAGATCAGGAAAAACTGAGCGAAACCTTCGAGTAGTCTTCCATGGCTGGTTATTGCGCTTGATCAAACTAAACAAGGCTTTAATTGCTGCTTATTACAGTTGCTTAGCTGCAGTCACATGCACTTTCCTTGATAACGACACTTTAGTTTTCTCAGAATCATAGCATTTTGTGATAATCAACACATCGTGGGTTCGACAAGGAATATGAACTTATATATATGAAAAATATCCTCCTGACTGCATAATTTTATTTGCAATTAAAAAATTTAAAAAATAGTATTCAAAACTCCTTAACAAGAAAGCGAATAACATGCTTGCATCGCAGTTGAAAAATCGCCTTTGATTGAACCGAATGCGATTTGACGATGCGAACAAGGCAAACGGCCAGTTGATTTCTCCTCAATCAAAGCAGGAGAAAAATGATTAATCGATTTTTTTAAAATGGTGTGTAGTGAAGGGCAGTTTTAAGCATAAGCTATTTATTTCTCATTTTAATAATTTGTCAAAAAACTTTACATTAACTTTGTTATCGTATAAATATTCCAAGGCAAATATTAATTGAAAAATCAAGGAGGGCATGGTGTTGATAAGTCGGTACTTTTAAATTAACGACTGATTTGAACGATTTAAATGATGGTACAATCTGAAAAAATACCTGTAAGTTTCTTATGGTAGCAAGACCATTATTATATAAAAGAAAAAGTACTCACATATTTGAAAACTTTCATGTCATATCTATCACAAAACTTCAAATAAACCTTTCTCGATAATTTATCTTCGTCGATTTTGAGACAGAAATCGAACAGAAATAATCTTAAATGACCAAAAAGTCCATGTAAAATATAACTGCGTTCTGTATACAGTTCCCACTTCCAATTTTTGCAACAGGCACAGTGAATGAAATGAAAACAGCAAGCAAATTTAAAGAAAGATATGGGAATACCTTTAAAAACCATTCGACGAGTGCGTCAATTAGGGATGGTCGGTATTTAACGTAACCGCTAAAATAACAGTGTTCCAAACGTGTAACCTGAAACCATAGTTACAGCTAGCCGATTTAACCGGTTTAATTTGGAACCGTCTCATAAAACCGAAATAGTGGTGCGCCCTTCGGACACGAAAGGCGAGAGATTACTTTCTAAAGCGGGTGCTATCATAACGCGCGGAAAACTAGAATCAGTAAAAAGCATCTGCAAACAATTTCATTCTTAAATGTTAATTAATTTTTAAATAAAAGTGAGATTTTTAAACGTTTTCACATAGAAACCGTATTTTGTATTTAATCACTCTGGTTTATTAACAGTTTTTTGTCCTTTAAGCAGTTACTTTTAAGGAGTGATTTTAAGTACTTACTGTAAAGGAAATCATTATAAATCATCACTATTTCTACTATCATCAACATTCTGCATTTTTAATGAAAAATTTAAAAAGATACATGTTTCTTTTAGAACCGCACTTTGAAACCTATTATCAAGGTGAAACTGAAACGTTGTAACCCGTTACAGAAAAATAACCATTTAGCATACCTCTAGCATCAATCCATAGATTTTGCCCTGAAGTTGGCGGATTGCTTACTAGCACTGGACCTGAGAACAAATAGAAATACCTCGTGGTAGCAACCAACGTAAATGATTATAAAGAATGCTCCGTATAAGACTAAGTACCATGACTTAGGGTTATGACCATACATTAGGGTCTTTGACTATGACCACTGGTACTGCCTCCTCCCTGAGAGACCCTCCAGGCCAATCTTTTGCTACCGTTTCAAACGAGCTCCGTTCGGAGCGAGGAAACAGAAAATCAAACGCAAAAAGTTGCGATATCTAATATTAATTTTCAAAACGCTGTAAAATTTACGTTTAGTTAATTAAATTAAATAAATGCGAAAAGAAGGAATTTGAAACTGTTTATTTTTTCCTAAACGAAAAGGAACTTTGGCGCTGTGCTGAAAAGTTATGTTAAAAGTCCCGAACTGAATGCCGAAAGTCCACTTTTCCGCACATACTGCTGTACAAAACCAACTCCAGAATTTTTTGGGGACATGCTATTGTTTACTGTTTCCTTTTAGAATGATAATTTTTCAAATATCTTAATTTAACTTGAATACAGTGTTTTTAGAGTATCTTCCAGTTGTATAATGGCTAATCAGGGGGTACACGCACGGAAGTAATCTCATTATATTCGCTCTAATAGTTGAAGCAGGAGAATATTGTACCGTGGATGGCCGAGTATCAAACTCTTTCTTCTTGCTTCCAACTTTTATTCCACTCGGTATAACTTTAACTACGGAACAGAAACAAACTAACTTCAAAATTACCGTCAACTTCACAAACAATAACAAAAACACACGGAAAACTCGCTCTTCAGACTCGCGGGGCTTAACCTCTTCTGCACCCGGTCGCTCCTGTCACTTTATTTCCCCACCCCCCCATGGTTCTCGTCGTCGCTTATATAGATTACTTCAGGTAACCCAGATGCTTCTCGAAATCTCCAGAACAGGTGCGAAACTTCCCGCTTGTCAGTGTCATATTTGACAGTAAATGGGGCCCAAATGGGGCTCCCATTTACTGAAATACCATGAATTTTGATCCCTCCATTTCAAACGTGCGTACCCCTGGCCATTTCCGTTACAATATGTTCAGTTTGCTAGTTACTATCACTATATCAATGGCCCGGTCTTCACATCTCCGAACAATTTCGCTCACACATTAACGCTATTATTTGAAATGAATCATAGCAAACAAATTAGCAGATAGACACACCTCTAGTTTCAAAAATGGTTACTTTATATGCCATTAACTGTATTCTGTAACTAACTAATTTCATGCTATTAACTGCAGTTATTGTTAATGTGCGACTAGACCATGATAACTATGGAGATTGTAAGCTTTGTGTTTAATTTTCATTTCGTTTATAACTATTAGGAAACAATATGTTGGAAACCATGCAGTTGCCTCATAGGTTTTAGATGAATGCTATTTGATATTACTTTCATTGGGTTAGCTTGCAGTAACTGTAACTCACCATCGGCACATTTTTCAACTTTCTATTATAAAAAATGCAAATATTTAGCGGGTGTTGTTTTCAACCTCTGATGTCCAGGTATTCGGTAAACTAAAATGATACTGCATGTGTCTATAATTTCAATTTTGCTATTGCGACCTACCGCTTCGTGCATTGGCAGCAATCAACTCTCGTAAATGATCAACGTTGTGACACTATTTATCATTGATTGATACTGAATTTTGTGCGATTGTCGGTATGAATTTAATCGCAATTTTCAAAATTTTCTACAGGTACTTCAACAGTTTATAATCTAATTTTTAGTTTGCCCAAAAACATATTTTCATATGGAGATCTTTATATGATCCTGCTTTTGGTTGTTGCGTAGTTCTTCGTAATCCAACGCTACAGTTATTATTTATTGCAGAATTGTTGTCCTTTGTCAGATGACGAAACCACAAATGCTCCAAACGTGGTAAAAAATTTCTTCAATGTCAAATTCAAATTCTTCGGAACGTTTAGTTTCAAGTGATCGCAGGGTTTAAATTTTTTTCAAATAATAATTAAATTCAAGATCAAATGTCTAGTGATCGTCATAGCAAAAAACAACATACTTTTTTTCACTCTTCATTCATCTTGAATCAGAAAATAAAAACGATGCGAGACTGGCTGCAGTATAGATTCAATAAAATCGTGGAACTCAAATTTTACTAGTGGAAATTCAATAGCACCTTATGAGCAAATAAGCTGAAAATAACTTGAAATGATGTCCAAAAGTGAATCATAATAAGCAATCATCACAAACAGTCATTGCATTATTTATTCCTGTATAGAAACTAGAAGTTCCGTGCTAGTCCGGAAACACCTAGTAATTTGGTGATGTTCTCAGCAAATAAAAAGTTAAATCAATAAATTAGAATCTCAAATTTTTATCGCAAAAAGCTCATAACTTTCTTAACTACTAAAATAGTATTGCTACTGAATCAAAGTAAAATATGTATATATTTTTTTACAGTCCAGTCTATTACTTGCTAAAACACAATTATTTACTTGTTATTACGCTAGTTTCTAGGTCCTAAGGATGCAAGATAAATTTGCGACACATTGGCAAACTAAATAGATGATGCCCGCTTTCTCTCATGCAAATCCGAATAATGAATTTCAATTTTAAATTGAAATTTGCGGATAAATACATTTTTATTC